TCCGGCGGCGGCCCGCCCTGACGCCGCTAGGCAACCGCGCTTCCTCCTTTCGCAGCTGTTCCGGGGCTTCTGCCTTTCCTGAAGCGCCCGGCGACAACAGGCGGCGGCGGCGGCAACGGCAGCAGCATCCAGGCGCGAGAGAACCAGCCCTTATTTCTCTGACATCACGATAGCCAGGAGCGCCTCCGTCGATGAAAAGAACCGCCCTTTACCTCCGGGGCCCGCGTCTTCTGGGTCCTAGAGGAAGGCTGTTCCACGCGGCGAGGCGAGTGACTTAAGGAAGACGAAGCGGAAGGGAAAAGGAACGCCGGCCAGTCCCTTTCTGGGTCTCTGGGCCACTCTCTTTATTGTGCTGGGAATAAAAGGAGTCGGGTAGTTGGTTGGGTCTGGTTGGGGGTTTTGGCATTTCCTCTCCCACATTACGCTCAGAGAAAGGTTTTCGAACAACACAGAGCAAAAGACCTTAATACAGTAAAGTCAGACCAAGCAGCAGCTTTTAGAGACACCTGCAAGTGTGAAAAACACTTTTCGGAAAATGACGTCTTTGCCACCGCACGAAGGCGTTAATTTTTCACTGGAGAAGCGCGTTTTCAAGAAGAAATGGCTATTTTATGTGTGTGCACACTGAAGGCCAAAGAGAGAACTTTGAATACTTTGGGATGGATACTTTGCTGAATATAAATTCATGCTGCTAGGAAGAATTGTACGGATCCATAGGCTGATGCAATAAATTGGACTGGAAGCTATAGCCGTCATTATTAGTTTTATTATTATTCAACATTTACACGCCATTTTTCTATTAAATATTTAAAGCTGCTTACAACCATGACAATGCACTAATAAAGAAGCAAAAATATCGAACCCAACACACAATTTTTTTCAAAGCCTGAAATACAGTAGCAGCTTAAGACAACCTTTAAAGTATTAGGAAAGCTCCTCAAAGCACAAAGGAATTACTGGTCTTTTAGAACATACTTGGAATATGTCTATAATTCTCACAGGAAAGCCTTATAAGATTTTAGATATGGATGTGTTGTGGGGAATGGGAAAGGGAGGGTGGGGAAAGAAGAATACAGAAATATATGAATGTATGTACTATTAATATTGTTAATATTATACAAAGAAATAAATTTAAAATAACAAAAACAAAAGCTCACTGAAACTACTTTCACTCTCCTAAAAGCCATCAGCAAAAGCACTACAGTGTGGTTAGGCTCCAATATGCTAATGAAGGAGAAGAATTTGAGCAAACCGAGATTTCTTGGTACTGTATAGAGATTCTGGTGTAAGGGAAACATCTGTTGAATTTGAGCAGACATTGACGCAGTACTTAAAGACACAGAAACAATACCAAGGAGAAACATAAGAAAATCATGCATCATCCTCATCCTTATTTTATATATTTTCTAGAGTTAGGTCCTCATCCGTTTCACATCTAATACCATAAAGGCCTGGAGATGGCCAAGGAAGTTGGAAAGTATAGTATGACTGCCTCACAACTTTTCTCTGAAATACGTACTCAACTAGTTAAGACCTGAAGCTATGAAGGAGCACATGGCTATTCAGTCAGCTCCCCTGCCAAGGAAGAGATGCCAGATAGATGTCCTGTTTGAACAGTAGAGAGGCCTGCTACTGATGAATTTAGTTCACAAGCCACCCATGCCCAAAGGGTTCCCTGTCCATCAATGTGGACCTCCACCTCAAATTGTTGGCTTGCCAACTTGATTACAGTTAGTAAACAACACAACCATCTATGGCGCACACCAATATTAAGGGTTTTAAAACTGAGTCCTACCCTGACAGGCTATCAGCCACATTGCTCACATCTTTCACACTACCTTTCACATTTCTTCTCTATCAGCTTTCTTACTGCTGAATTATCATGTCTCAAAAGGTTCCAGATTTCAAAGAACATTCTGTTCTATAGTACCATCCATCCTACATAGTTCTACATATTACCAAAAGGAGGAATTGTGTGGCCCTCCAGATGTTGCTGGACTGAAGTCTTATTATCAGTCTGTGGATGCCCAGGCCCTTTATGGCCAGGGTGGTGTCAAAGGAGCCCATGGGTGCAGTCATTAGGACTCTGGAGACCAGCTTCTACCATCAACCATAAACTTTATTAGGCAACTAGATACAGGTGACCCTTCAGGGCTCCAAGTAATCTTTCCCTTTAAATCCTCATCCTGCCACAGTCTCTCACACTTAGGCAGGGTAGTTCTTTTCAGAACTTGGGATCTGTGCTGGGATGGGCCTCTGAGTTGTCACTCCTAGATCCTTCAGAAAGGTCAGTTCTCTAGCCACTAATGGGGCAGCACAGTCTAAATTCTATGATTTACACATCCTACAGATCTTCTTGCACCTGTAGGCTTCTTTCCATTTAGCAGAGCTGCTTGAATGGGTATATGAACTGAGTTGGGGTAAGGGTTGGAAAAGGTATTGAAGGTGTCAGCTCTGGGGAACGACAGTCATTGCACTCAGGGCCTCGACCTGCCAGGCGTAAAATACCACCAGAGTAGTCCACATACCTTCTCCAGTTGACTGACAGGTGCTTATTCCTCTGCCATGGGTGGTCTCCAGGGGGCATGTGGAAGACACAGAGGGCAGTCTGCAGAGAGCAGTCCTAACTCTATTCTATTGTCCAACCATCTACAATATCTCATCATTGGCAATTCTGGCTACGGCTGACAGAAGCTGTAGTCCAACCTCTGATAGGATTATATGAGATGAAGTGCAGCCCACATCTATTCAGAAGTAAAGTCACTTACTTCATGGGACTTCAGTTTTCCTCTTTAGAATTACTTGGATGGAGCATGTTTCCAGACTTCCATGGACAAGAACTGTTGCTCATGCATATTAATATCTATGCAACAACAAGGAAGAGTCCTGCAGCAACTCAAAGACTAAGAGGTTTTATTTGGCTGAAGATTTTATGGGCTGCAATCCACTTCTTCAGCTACAGGCGGACAGACAGACATGTGTCAAGAGACTGGGAAATTGATGGATCATGGTATTCTTCAGGAAAGTTCAGGCTTTGCAGTCAGTGCAAGAAAAAACTGGCTGAGTGGGGTGGGGGAATGCCCACCAATAATTGGAAGGGTAAAAAATCTGAAGCATATTGGAGTGAGAGCATTTATCAAGGCCAGGCTGGCACATTCTCTGGTACTGAGTTAATTGGGGAGATGCTTTTTAGCTGAGTGAGGGGAGAGAGCAGAAACTGTTTCTGCCTTCATGAATGTTTGAGAAAATGTGATGCTTAATTGGAAGACCCTGGAAGAGTACAGATGCTGAAGCTTTTAGATACTGTATAAAAATTGGGAAGTTACTTTGGTTGGCTCAGTTATCTTTTTGGAGAGATGCTATGCTCATTTGCTGCCCTGCTGCAAGGAATGCACTTTGTGTATGCTCTGATACTTTGCTGAAGCTATGCTAGAGTGTAAGTACTGGATTAGTTTAGCTAGCTTTCTTATTTTCTTTTGTGTGTGCTCTGTATTGTTCCTGTCTCAAGCTTTTAATGGATTATTAGCTGCAAACCCCTTTTGATTATCTTTGCAACTGTTGAGACTGTTTTTTGATTTTTTTTCCCTACTTTTTTTAACCTTTTCACTATCTTTCATAAAATATATAATGTATTCATACAGTTGTTTGACTTTTTGGATTAAGAGGTTTTGTGGCACTTATAACCAGGTCTTGCCTTAACAATCTACCATGAATGTGTATGTTTAATGGTTGTGGTGGCATATCTACTTTGCAGGGTTGGCCTAAGAGTCAAAGCACTTGACCTTATGGGTTTTTGGGAACTCCCTGGGAGCACTGCTTAGTTGGGTTATACTAAGGTGTTGGGAGAGTGCTCAGCAAGTAGATTCCCCCCCAGCCGAAAACACATTTGGCCTTCCTGGGTTCATCCGTACCAGAACAACCAGGGTAGTGTGGCTAAGTGTTTAGAGTGGGCCTCACTGAACCTGGTGATTCTTGAGTGAGGAAAAGTAGTGTAGTAGTGAGGAAGAGATATGATATGTAATAGAAATGCAAAAACTACCAGCATGGCAATAATCTTAATATTAGTTGATAAGGATCATTTGACATTGACTTGGAGGTGACAGGTTCAGATCTTAATGGTGGTTGTAAAGTGTCATCCAAAAAAAAACACTGAAGAATGGACAGTTATGTCCAAGCATAGATACTACTGTGCAGCAGATGAGAGGAGCTCTGGGTGACTGGTTGAAAAAACTTCTGATTTCATATGTCTATATTCCTAGTAATAAATTATCTATCCCTGAGTTAGGCACTTGAAGAATTACACCTACACTTCCTCAATGTTAAACATGTTATTTGCCAGCATATTTGTATTTATATTGGTGTTTTGTGTTTGCTCTGGTTCTCCAATGTCATAATTGTGTATCATTACAATGAATTGTGAGAACAACTTAGACTGAAGTATGTGTGTCAAAATAACATTTCATAAGGCTGTTATGAGTTACAGAGCTGTAGGGCAATAAGGACAGTAGAGGCAAAATAGATAAGGACTGGGGAAAACTAGCTTGTACATAATCTGAAAAGCAATTAACCCAGTACATTATCTATATCAATGCTATACACTGGTTCCAGTATCTGGCAGTAAACTGATAAAAATGGCAATGAAACCACAGTGTTTCACCTATAAGACACTATACCCTGTGCCTTCACATCTACAAATGGTTTTATGATGGGTGTTGATGAGTGTTTCTTAACAGGGAGAGTCATTCAATTATAATTTTAGGGAAGATTAAGAGAAGTCTTAGAAAGAATGTTCAGTTGTTTCTTCTTTGCTGGCAATATAACTGGGCATTTTTCTTCTACCGTAACTGCTGCAGCTTTACAGAAATGCTCTTCTGGCAGATAACAGGGGAGTTTACATCTAGATATAAATATATTAATATATTATATATCCCAACTAACAAGTTTACAGAATAAACCATAGAACCATGAATTTAAGTATAAACATGGCTTAGGTATCTGACAAGAGGTTGGCGTTCAGTTCTCCACTGTGCCTCGTGTGAGTAAGGCCTGCCTATGTGGCCTTGGGCAAGCTGCACAGTCCCAGGATGCCCACAGAAAGGAATGATAAACCACTTCTGAGTATTCTCTACTTAGAAAACCATGAAAAGAGTCACAATAAGTCTGAATTGACTTAACACATGATGATTATGATCATTATTATTATTAACAGAAACTAATATGTTCCTAGAAACTAAAATACGATGTTAAATATTCTGGTCTCTTGCTTCTTCTTTTTCCCTGCAATGTCTTCATTCAAGTGAACTGCAGAAAATAAATTGCAAAATGTGAGTGCCTATCTCATGTCTCCTAAGCAGCAGCAGTACTGTGACATTCTAGTTTTAGGGATTTGTTATCTCCAAAGACTGACAGTACTGAACATACAATATACATCCCACTAATTATGTGAAAGCTGATTTGCACACTTTATTCTTCAACACTACAGAGTGCTATCAGAGGTGAAACTCAATACAGCAAGGAGCCAGCTAGAAATATGTAATCTGATGAGGGAGTAACAGCAGATACCTGGAAAAGATCCAAAATGCACTATGTGTTTTATTTAAACATATTCTGATATAGTCTGATGAGAAGACTAAGTTTAATACATTTGAATTATAAACTAGATTACTCTTAATGGACCAGAGGGGAAAAAAACAGAAATGTCTTTGTTCCATAAAAAAACTTCCCTATGTTAGTTTAAGTAACAACACATAACTTCAGAGTTGCTAGAGGTCATGCATCTCATGTGGCATTTGTCAGGCATTTTCTTCCAGCATGTTTGCCCATAGCTTGAGCATGATGAACCTCCTGAACTGTAGCCAGGAGGCCATTCTCTCTAATGTCTACAGTGGATACTAGCTTTAACCAGACACACAGAACCATCCCTTCGTCCTTCTCTTCCTTTAAGCATGTCTGAACAG